GTCTGGCAATCGTGCTCCTCTAATTCTTTTGTTATTTTATTAGATAATTGAAAGCATTAAGTATATATATAACAAAATATTTATATGTATATATATTTTTTTTTATGTTTGTATAATATATACATTATGATTTTTGTATATATATACATATTAAGTATATATATATTGTATATATATATATTTTTATGTTTTCCGTATACATATCCATGACGAAAAGTATTTTTTGCGAGAATCTCAAACACAGAATAAACCGTTGCCATTTTTGTCTACCTCCTTATTTCTTTTGATTTTCAGTTGTTTTCATGTCGGACGAGAAAACGAGAGAAATATGGGCCGATCCGTATGGTAACGTGGCTGCCACGTAACACGCTGTCGGCGATAACGTTTTTCCGAGCAATTTAAAAGTAATTGCAAACCCACCCTCGCATTTCTGAAGCTGATGTGCGTTTACGGTGGCTGGCGTGGTGCTAATGCGTTCCCACCTTAAGCCAAAGAAATTTCGTTGAATATTTCAAATCTCTGCCGTCGCGTTTATGCAATGTTTATTCCTGAACACACCAGCGCCAGCGTGTGCATTCGAGAATGGTCGGTGTGTATCACGGCGCGTTGAGCAACCGTCGCGTGAAATACGATGCGAACGTTGTTCCGTGACCTTTTTCGTTTTGTATTTTGAGTCGTCGCGCCGACGGGAGCGCAGCGAAGAGCATGCAAGCATCAAAACAAACCCCAGACATTTCCATGAAACGAAATAGCTACGCAAACGCCAACACAAATACACGTATTTGCACATGTAGCCTCACGGGGACCTGAAGTTAATTACTTCAAGCATTTCTTTCCTCTTTCCTGTCGGTGTTTCATTTTTTTGTTTTCAGGTGCGCGAAAAATACTAAAGGTCCACCATCTTGTATTCCTTTTGACGAACTATCGAGGGACACTGTTCGGGACGCGGCTCTCGTGGAAATCTTATCGCGTTTCGATGATTGATCGCCTCGAAGGTCTCGAAATCACGGACTTAACCCGGATTCGACTCGGGAGAAGTCGTTTCAAATTTTCTTCGCGTACTCGTGAATAATTGGCGCTGGAAATAACCCCGCTTCTGGGTTCACGTTGACGCGAACCTAACCGCCACGAACAAAAACACCCAGAGAGGGGTGTACTCTTAAGGGGCAGTTGCTTTTTTCGGTCAAAAAAAGCGAAGGCACAGGTGTGCGTAATTCACGACGAATGTAAAAAAAAAACGTAGAAAGAAACACGATTCGTCGAGTTCATTCAGAGAAAAAAAAGGTTTGCGGGAACGTAGGGGAAAAGAAAAATATTTCGAAAGGTTTCCAGAAAGTTTCGGCGAGTACTCGTGTCCGTCGCGGCTGACTGTTCGCGTACCGTTGCTCATCCGAAATGTAAACACAATCCAATGTCGGGGTGGGGCGGTCAATGAGCGGTGACGTGACAATGTTGGTTCGTTAGTCGCTACGTTCCCTCTATCGTGTTCCAGTTTGAGCCACGCTAATTATGAGACCGCGTACGCTTGCTTTTGTTTATCTGCGTGTCGCATCCCTGCAGCTGAGTACATTGTTAGCGACGCAAGAATTTGAGCAGCTTTGAGACCGTTCCTGAAAAACGAAAAGGGAGAAAAATGTAAGCTGTGAGGTATATCCATTTTCTAATCTAGAGATGGAATCTTTGCGAGTATAAAGTGAGATTCTCTCGATTAGAATTATAATCCTGCGATAACAATGATAAGAGACTAAAAAATTGTGATTTTCGATATCGTACCGAGAGAAAAATATGAGAGGAAGACGATAACGTTTCAATCGTCTGTTCGTTATTGTGGATGTCCGCGCTATGTCGTCGCAAGCTATGATCCGAGTTTATTTATAAATTACCTGTGATACCAGCGTGGTTGTTTGCTGATCGTGATACTACTCGGCCGTCTCCGTTATAATTTGATATTGGAACATTGGTTAGAACCGAATCGATAACCGGTGAACGCGTTAAGGCCGTCCTCGGGTTCACCTTATCATTGGATTAATTACCGTGATTATAGGGGTAATCACTCTTCTGCGTCAATTGGATCCGTTTAATCCTGGATTAACGAGCATTCACGAGAGCTCAATACCGTGAAAGTCGAATTCGTGAACGCTCCGCGAATGCCATTGAGCCCTCACGCGCGCAAACTTCGTTCGATGCATTGTTCTGACAAGTGCATAAACGTTTATCTCAAAAGTGGAACGAAGGATCAGAAGTAGCGCGTCGTTTTTAATTATCCCTGTGTTCTAACAAAGATACTGCAATCGCCATTTAATTCCAATGGTTTTATACGTTCTCGAGAGTAGATACGAAGAAATTATTACCATTCGAATGAATTAAAATCGAGAGATAATCGAAAGGAAATTGTGTAACGGACCTGTGACGAAAATTTCGATCCGTAGCCGCCTCGATGGAATATTAAAAAGTCGCAGGACGTTTCCGGTAGCTGACTGTATTTATCCGCAAGATAACGTTGAGACATTGCCACGAGCGGTAATGCCCTCACGCGGTTTCCAGAAATAATTTCGTTCGACGTAATTCCATTATGACTCCTCCAGGCATTTTGCAGCACCGTAGACCCTGAAAATTTGCGAACTTCGACATCGATGCCAGCCAATCAATGCCTTTGGCATTTCTACCTTAATCGATCGAATGACTGGTCTTAGAAACACTTCTCAATGAGGTTTAAAAATATGTCACGTGATACTAAATTCCATAATACACGAAATAATTGTATATAGTTTATATATCGTGTATAAAAACTGTGGAGAAAAATTGAAAACGTTTATTTGACGACTCGTGGTAGGTTTAGTGCTGAAAGTATACTGCACCGAACACAATACGGTTATCCATCGTCATTGTGGTGTTTCTCCTTGTTTAGAGAATGCCGGATTAATAATTTGATCAACGATCGTAAGCTGAAGCAAGTTTGCCAGCGTCCTACCAGAGGCAAAGCAGTCTCGGGAAATTGGAAAGCGTTCTAAATGTCACCTCGTCCATAAAGTCGCCTTCCCCACGCCAGCGAATGGATTACCGTTTATCCGTGCACGTAGGCGCGTGAACCCCGAACGACAGCCCCCGATGTCAATGGCGTTCCACTGACGGATTCGCGTACACTTTTCGTTGTCGGATCACTCGATCGCGAACGTTTAACGAGAGGAGGCTACCGAACGGCGAGAACAAAAACCGGCTCGGGACCTGGTAGAATTCAGACTGGACTTTTTACGAATTCCTCGTGTCCAGTCTGGAAATCTGCAGTTGCATTTCCTCCGACCAACGCTTTGCGGCAGGACCTCTTAAAGATTTAGGCTCGCGCACGCTTTTGGAAGCGTTCGGTGCATTATAAGAAAGTACTCTTACGTGACCCGTAAAAGAGCTTCCGACCGCGCCTCGAGCTGTTACTATCTGAAACTGGTTTTGTTCAGCTATCACAATATTTACAGTCTTGGAATGCCTATGCTCAACCTTCAGCTGGTGACGACGTCGCCTCTTACCGCCACTGCTAGCGATGTGACGTACTCTGAATAAGGATCCATTTTATTTATATACTTGTTTTAATCTTAGCTCAGGCTTGTTTTTTTTTTTTCTTTTTTCTTTTGTGTCATCTTGTCTAAGAGCCGCGAAGATTTCTTTTTTATCCAGTCCTTCGAGCACGGTGAACTGCTGTCAGGGCGCCCGAACGCGTCCTTGGAACGATTTGTAAACACCCGTCATAACAGAAATCAGGTTAGGCTTTCTTTATCGAACTGGTACCCAGCTGTTCGAGGAATCCACGGTTGAATTTCCTCCGAGGCGAAAACTGGCGAACTTGTACGACTTCCTGTCGACGTTACTCTTCCATAGCGCAATCTGTGGCACCGTGCCGGTTTCTCATGCCGCTCGGTTTTATCCGTTCTATCCTATCATTGAATTATGAAGGGACTAAAACTTTATATAACGCCTATTGGCGGCGGAGGACAAGAATCGTCGCGTAGGCGAACATCGCGTACCTCGCCACTTTCATTAACTTGGCTAGCTGGGCCATTTTTGAAATTTTAATATTTAAGATGAAATTTACATCAGCAATTCGAAATATTAGGAGGTTGCGTCGAAAGCCGCTGTTTATGTATACGTGGATTTTACTGCGAATACTGTAGACAGTGAGAGCCGTCGTATTTGATGAGTTGTTAAAACCGCATGAAACAGCCACCGCCGAACGTTACTGCCAACGATTCAAGCGTTTACACGATAATCCGATAGAAAAACTACCATCAATTGCACGAAATCGCCGAAAGGTGATCCTTCTCCGTGACAATGCACGGCCTTATGTCGCTCGAACTGTGAAAGAAACACTGACGGAGTTCGAATGGGAGATTCTCCCTCAGCCAGCCTACTCTCCAGACCTGGCCCCAAGTGATCATCATTTGCTTAGTTCGATGCAACATGGTTCGGAGGACGCACGTTTCCGTAATTACGAACAAGTTGAACATTGGCTTGCTGAATGGATAAGCTCGAAAGATAAACCGTTCTTTTGTCGCGGAATTCAACTTTGGTCAGAAAAGTGGGAAAAAGTAGTAGCTTTCGAGGGCAAATATTTCGGTTGTTACTTCTATATACTTTACTATCGAAATAGATACTAAAAAACACGAATAAACAGCCGCTTTCAATGCAACCTCCTAATGTATCATCGTTTTTCAATGTCCCGGGTAAATACCGGCCACTGAAAACCGTTAAATCATCCGATTAAGTCGGGCAGAGTAATTGTTGCTCCAACGTGGCTGGTAATCGATCGTTGGCTCGTTTTTGTTTAATTTTACACCAAGCGGCACGCGACCTTTGCTTTCATCTCTCTCTCTCTCTCTCTCTCTCTCTCTCTCTCTCTCTCTCTCTCTCATTTCGTTATTATAATAGGTGAGTCAGCGGTTTATCACATCTCCGAATCTAATTAACAAATATAGAATTTCAGTTCGCGATATAAAGAAATCTAGGAGTAATTATAGTCGAATGAAATCATTTTTAGGTTGCGGCACACCCGTTGGTACGCTCCTGCGAAAGAACAGCAGTCCTCGTTGAAAAGTCTTGCAAGAAATGTTGATGGAGTTTCAGCAATCGAGCCGGCGCGCTTCCTGCCAGACCTTAAGAAGTCGTTAGACCTACGTACTTCTTCTTTACAGTCCGTCGTGGTGCATACAGTTCTCCGTAAATATCCATCGTGTTTGCTCTATTCCTTTTTGTTGTCCGCTTTCTTGCTTAATTCCCAGCTTCTCGACGGCTGGGGCTCGTCTCTTAAGCCGCGGGACGAATCAACGTTGAAATTTGTTTTTAGACACCCCCTCCCCCCCCTCCCCCTGTACCTCGAGGTCGCGACGAAGAAGCTCCGTGCACCGTTTCATTATGAATTCTTCACGCGCTTCTTGCCTGGCGTTTATGCCGACGATTCTGCAAATTGCACTCTCGTCCTGACGGGGGATGAATTTCGTCGAACACCATGGAAACGGAGGATCCGTTAATTCCTAGAAAATACTGTCTTTAGTGCTCGATACTTGGATTAAATTTGGTACTGAATACTTGTATTGGGTTGTCCGGAAAGTCCATGTCGATTTTTGGTAGGTGGTACAGGTCTGAATATGTCGAAATGATTGAAAACAAATAACATGTATACATCCCATAAAAGGTGGAAAGGTTCTGGAACAAAATGGCGTCTATTTAATTCAATAAATACGTGTATATATATTATATGCCTATGAATTTTTTTTAGAAATTGGCACGAACTTTCTGGACAACCTAATACTTGATCGAGTACTTGGCTTAGTGCTCAACAGTTGTTCTCTATGCAGTGCTCGGTACTCGAAAGCAATATTTATTCTATAGCGAATTAGACTATAGCGAAATAGTAAGAAAATCGCGGTTTTTTTTTAAAATAAATGAACCTCGTGTTTCTTTGTCGCGTAAATTGGAAATCATTAATAGTTTCACACCTCGTTAACATTTAAATAGAGACGTTCAACAACCAGAGGAGGACGTTGCTGGGTTGTCGAACGTCTCGGAGGAGGTGGATTCTTTATTGTCATTACACGGAGGAATGCGTTCCCTCGGTCCAATTCAACGCGTCCCTTTTAATGATCGTCCAGTCTTTTTCCACCGTCGTTTAGCTTTGCTTAAACAGTAAACTGGCACTGTGGTCGTCGAACCACGTGACTCATCCAACGCCTTCGTTATTGAAGAAATATTATTTTCCCGCTAACGAGAACGATGCTCGTGGAGATAGGCTTTCGTCAAATTAATTGACGCGAATTGTTGCGAGACGGTTACCTCGTTTCTTGCGATACGCGCGCGAATTTCACGTGCAACGACCGCGATAATCCTGACGCTAGGAAGTGTACAATCTTAATATCATGCGACCTGAAAGTTACACGCGTCAATAGAGGGTTAACATAAAAATGCGCTGATGGACAGAGACATGTAGGGTACCGCGGTTTTCTTTCTCTTTTTCCTCGAGTCTGGCTCCCCTACTCTGTCTAATCTCTGCGAACGAGCGTCGGTCGTCGAAAACACCAGAGAATGGTAGAACCGCCGCGACGTCTCCCGAGGTTCGGGGAGACGTTGCGAAAGCCTCGTTGCTACGCAGTTCAGTTGAAAAACAATTTTCTGATAAACGATCTGCGAGAGATTGTCGCGTAATTAACATAAGGCGATCGGTGAATTATTCACTGGAGAAACGTACGGTCCCGCGAGCGTCGACAAACCGCGATAGATGATAACGCGACGGAATTACGTAGACGTGCTAAGCGTGGTTGAACTTGCATCTCGTAGATTAGAGTGATCGTGTGAAATATTTTGCTTGGAACGACGATAAGAATTATACTAAAGGCATTATTACAGAGAAAGAGAAAAGTAATACACGTGCGGCGAGGCTTACAACTGTCGAGTTATAAGTCTAACTATAATGGTGTACAGAGACGAGGGATGATGAAACATTCACTGGATCCGCTTTCAATTGTAAATTCGCTATACAGGGTGTCCCAAAAGTCGGGGTGGAGCCGGAGATGGGTGGTAGCTGAGACGATTCTGAACAACAATTTCCTTTGCAAAAATCTCGGATGGGGCTTCGTTAAGGAGATATTAAGAGAAAACACCGACCAATCAGAGCGCGCGTAGACCGCTGGAGCGGCCGCGGTAGCGAAGGCTACGCGCTGGCGGCCGCGCTTGCACGCGAACAAGTGACTCGACGTGCATCGAAGGACATTGACGACGCGGCCACCAGCGCGTAGCCTTCGCTATACCGCGGTCGCTCCAGCGGTCTACGCGCGCTCTGATTGGTCGGGGTTTTCTCTTAATATCTCCTTAACGAAGCCCCATCCGACGTTTTCACAAAGGAAATTTTTGTTTAGAATCGTCTCAGCTACCCCCCATTTCCGGCTCCTCCCCGACTTTTGGGACACCCTGTAGAATAAATATTACTATCGAGTACCGAGCACTGCATAGAGAACAACTGTTGAGCACTAAGCCAAGTACTCGAGCAAGTACAAGTATTCAGTACCAAATTTAATCCAAGTATCGAGTACTAAAGACAGCATGCGTGCAGGACACTGTTTATTCAGTTAGACGAAAATAGCTTGTTCCATCGAGTACGGGTATCGACATCGAAATACAGCGGCACAGAAGCATACCAAATGTAGGTCGGTTCGTCCAACCATATAATTCCCCAACAATTCTAAAGAGTGTATTTCCGTTTAACCGTGCGGTGCGCACTTCAACAATGCAAACTCTGTTTCCGGGGTTTTTAACCGCCTCCGTTCGCGAATTTCCCGTGTTTTTCACGGAAACATTTTTCGCTTGGAAATGTGTAGCCGTTTTTTCCGCGACATGTGCCTGTCACGACCCCTGAATGTTTCATTTTATCGGATCGATTTATAAATATTTGTATTCCTGTGAGTTAGATGAGGTCTCCGGTGCACTGATTCTCCAGGACGGCGCTAAGACATCCTCATCGTACGTACACGAATATCCAACATCGTCGACGTTTCTTTTTTTTCTTCTCTTCACCGACATCGTTTGTGGCAGCATATTGTTATTCCCGGAACGTCGCCGTTGACAATGGCGCATCCGTTTTCGGGATGCAATCATCCCTATAAATGCGTTCTGTTCGATAACGGGTGCGCAGGTGTTCTTTCATCGTGCATCCACTTCGCGCTCAGCATTTTTCCTCGACGTCAATGCGTCGATCCGACGCTGCTAGCCTACCGAAGCTTTTCACCTCGGGGACAATAACACGGAGACGCGTTCACTTTCGCGCGAGCGTCCTCTTTTGGAAGCGTTGTCTCTCCGCCCGTTGTCGTCAACCTTCCCTCGTGTAATCGCAATTTCTAGTTATTGCAATTTCTAGTTAGTTCTAAAGCCTTGCATTTATGCAGGAGTCCGTAGGAAACGTAAGTTCCGAGTATTATAAAATGCTTGGAATGATAAAAAATTGCTAATGCTTGGAAGACATTGGATAACTGGCACGAAATGCTTGAACAGACTTTGTAAACAAACAAGAGATTATTCGAACAGTGAATCAACATCATAAATAATAAATTACCTGCTACCACCGCGTTGAATCTTCTAGAATATCAAACAGTCCACGACGAGTAGAGAAAGGGCTAGTCCACGTTTGCTTGCAGTAAGTTTCGTTCTTTGTCCTCTAATATTGTCATTCCTCGAACGTCGACGACGACGTGGCAAGACTCGTTTCGAGTTCTGTTGGTGAGAAATTTTATTTATTTAGACGATGTACTACGAATTTCAACGATAATGCAAACTACGAGTTAGTTCGCATAATTGTTAGTCAACGTATTAACTTTATATATATATCAAAAAAACAATAATAAATAATTGTATATAAATTCAGTATTTATTATTAGATTTATGCACAGTGACGATTTATGCTCGTCACTCTCAACGAACCTCTTCGTTGCACAGATATGTTGACACGCATAAAATAAGCACGAGGATTGTGCAAAAGCATAGAAAAGACGTGGGTTTCAGTTAGTAACCTAGCCCAGCGTGTCTCATGGAAGATGTGACGCGAAATCACCCCGTTTGTTACTTTCTCTTTCGACTACGTTCCGGGCCGCGTGAGTTCGCGAAGGTCGTCCCGATCCTTTTCAGCCCCGCCACTTCCGGTGCCTCTGGGTTCTCATTAGCGCGGGACGAGTCTCGTCTGAAGACCGCCGAGATTGCTTCGCACGATAAATTCCCTTCGGTACGGTTTTACCAGCCGTCTCTGCCCTCCTCTTCCTCTGCAACCCCCTTCGTCGACTTCCTGCGGCGTAAAACGCATTTTATTCGCAACCTAATTGCGTTTCGCTTGGCGCGCGAAGAGCGTCGCAACAACTTTAACGTTGTACAGGGTTAAGCGTTTCAATTGGGGCCTGGAATGCGAACAAGTTTTGCGATAATTAAGTATCAGTCTTTGACGAATTTCGACGACGGTACGGGGGTAGATTAAGCGATCATCGCTGTTTGCTTAATGTAGAATGGAGATAGGTGTCGTGGGGATAGTCGGACTGCATTTATCGGACAGATCTTCGTGGTACTTCGTCCAACCCTCATGAATTCTTTATTATTTTTAATCTGCAATAATGATCGATTAAAAGCGTTTGTACTTTGTTTGCAGATTGTCGGAGCCGACGGGTCACATCCACGACGGTATCGGGAACTACACGGCGGACGTGAAGTGTTCCTGGCTGATCGAGAGCAACCCTAATTCCACGATACGTATGCACGTGGAGCAGTTCGCGACAGAATGTGGCTGGGATCATCTGTACATCTACGACGGTGACAGCGTCGAGGCGCCGTTGCTCGCCGTCTTTTCCGGCCTGATGCACAAGGACGGTTATCACATACGTCGCGTGCCGGAAGTAATAGCGCGTTCCGGAAGTGCGTTGCTACACTTCTACTCGGACGTCGCTTACAACATGAGCGGCTTCAATATTACTTACAAGATCAACGCCTGTCCCAGCAGGTAAAACGACCCCTCTCCCCCCCCCCCCTCTCTCTCTGTTTGCTCGCGGAGATAGAACGATTTGCTCGCGAAAGGTATGCGTTTTATTTGTGTACACATTTCTTCCCCGCGCCATCCTTCTGCTGATTCTTTTGTCAAAGTGTTTACACGGCGCACACACCGGTCTGTTTGTACCGGCTGGCCAACCTCTGGAAACCTGATCGCTTTATTTGTTCTATTCCTCTGTGCAATTCATGCAGGATCCACTGGAAACAGAACGCTGAATTCTTTGTAGGATATATAAGAAATTCAGGTTGTAGAAGAAATAATATTTGGTTAAATTTTTGCGGTGGCTAGATCTGTATTTATTATTTCCAGGAAGAGGAGGCCAAATTGTTTTATGAAGATGGAATATGTTCCTTAGGGTTGAGGAGGAAGTATCTGGCCAGTGAAGTAGCGTATTCTCGATAATGTAGAACACTCGGTCGATAAGACTGGTCGCTCTGTTGGCAATATAAAACACTTTGTTGGTAAATCTTTCGATCACTTAAGATTCTACGTTGCTTTAACACGGGTTATATTAAATCAACTTTCATTGAACGATCATACTTCAAATATTAATCCAGATATTTACTCACGACAACACTTCGTCGTGCGTACAACGATCAAATAAACATTTATTCTGGCACATGGTGTAAATACGATAAGAGTATGTTTATCATGGAATCAGAGACACACAGTAGCACGGTCATCCTGTTCTTGAACTTTTATCCAGCGTATCTTCCTCCTGTATGTATATGCCATCTGGGTCAGTAGCAGCATTATACAAGATGTAATCAATGATTGTACTTCCTGAGTTCATTGTAGTAGTCCAGGCTCGGTTTCAATTGGCCCTGGAAGATGATAAATTACCGATTTATGAGTGCAGGTTAAAACTGTATTTATGATTGTACGATGAGAAAATAATACCCGAGGGGACCTAGATCACTGTCTAAATTGTACATACCTCAGGTGCCCCAACGATTCTCATCTTGTCATCATATTTGACTAGTTAATTCGACAATTGAGAGAATTACAAAAATAGTCGCAAAATAATCCTTGTTCAATTCTTGCCTGTAGGTATTCTCACATCGACTGCTCTGGCCATGGTGTCTGCATAGACGGCGTGTGTACGTGCGACGCCACGTGGACAGGGGAGGCCTGCGAGGTTCAAGTCTGCCCCAACAACTGTTCCCACAGCTACGGACAGGGCGAGTGCGATCGCGAGAGGCATCACTGCGATTGCGTCCACGGTTACAAGGGTGAGGAACATTCTTGAAACTTCGTCGAGCTTAGCCGTATAGAAAACCGACGTGCCGGGAAAATTGTTTTTCAGACAGACCGTTTAGAACTTTCATCGTTTGCGGTTACTAGCCGGGGACACTTTCGACGGCGTATTTGTAACATTCCAAGTGACTGCTTGCTCGACGAAGTTTCAACACTTCGTGAGAGAGCTTTCAACGGTGTTTACATGCAAATTGACTGCTCCTGTCTAAGATCACCATGAAAACGTTGTTTGGAACTGTTACCCTCTATAATCCAAACTACATTAGTTGTTTTGCTTGCTCCTATCTTGTAGCAGCAGTTTGTAATCAAATCTGATTCGAATTCTTTATAACCATATTAACAAATGTCCAGGTTCTGACTGCAGCCAGAGAAGCGACCGGGGATTTTGGGAAACAGTGACGTACACTGACTTCTCACCGGAAGGTTCAGCTAGTCACTGCTCTATCGTTTGGAAGGACTCCCTGTACGTGGTCGGTGGCGAGAGCTTCCACCGAGCCAAGATGATATACGTCTATGATTACAATGGGAACGTTTGGGAGACTCCTCACGTCGAGGGGAAAGTCCCTCTGCCTCGTTACGCTCACTCGTGCGTGCTCTTCGGCGACAAGATATTCATGTACGGCGGCGTTGTGCAGAATTCCACCGTGACAAACGAGATCTGGGCGTTCGACGTGTCAGCCAAAGTATGGGAGAACGTTACCGTGCATGACAACTGCCATAACAACAAAACCATGTGCGGTCCCTTAAAGGTGATCAATTGTTTCTTGACAATTTATTAATAACAACCCTTGTCGCCATCGATAGAGTCATCTCTAAATACAGTTGCGACTTTTAAGTATTCGTCGAACGTCCCATTTAATGCGTTACTTTACACAGGTAGCTGGACACACCGCGACCCTGGTACAGAGCCACGGGAAGAAGGAGAAGATGGTGGTGATATTCGGCTACTCGCCCCAGTACGGTTACCTGAACGTGGTGCAAGAGTATTACCTGGGCAGTCGGGAATGGCAGATAGTAGAACCTGTTGGTTTCCCCGTGAAAGGTGGCTACGGTCACACGTCCGCCTACGATCCCCTGACGAATCGGATCTACGTGTACGGTGGTTACGTATCCGAGTCGCAGAGCACACAGGTGTTGACCAACAGACTGTACTCGTATCATCCAAATTATCGCGAGTGGACGTTGCTCACGTCCGCGCCGTCTGCTCGATTTTTTCACACGGCCGTGTTCGTCTCTGGCGGCTTGATGATCGTTTTCGGCGGCAATATGCACAACGACACGCAGCATTCGGACGGCACCAGGTGCTATTCGGCGGACACGATGGCGTACGACGTTACCTGCGACTCGTGGCATCAGTTCCCCATGCCTAAAGAGATGACCGACCTGCCCAGATACGGGCATACCGCCACAGTGTTCGAGAAATCTATGTACATCTACGGGGGATTCGACGGCCAAATGCTGTCTGACATGCTGAGGTAGTTCACCTTTGGATAGAATACTGCAATGATCCTTAAGGAGATGTTACTTGTTCTTTAAAGATGATTTGTAAAATGCAGTACTACGAGTTCATCTGTAGTTGTTATTTGCGAACTTACAATTTGCGTTCGCCGTTTGCAGGTACACGCCGGGTAACTGCGAGCATTTGACGAATCAAAATCAGTGTCTGAACGCGAGGACAGGCGTGAAGTGCGTGTGGGACAAGCGCGATAGTCGGTGTATACAGATCACCAAGATACCGCGTCATATGCTGATGAACGACGACATGCACGATGGAAATTACGTGAGATGTCTGGACGACACGCCGCCCCGCGGTATGACGTCTCACAAGGAGTTGTGCAAACTGCTCACGGACTGCGTGGCATGCGTGCAGACGTCGTACAACTGCGTCTGGTGCGGGAAAAGCTGTTCGCACGAGATATGCCGGGACAATGCGAACGCACCGCCGACAAAGGTCGTCACGAATCTGGAACATTGCGACGCGCATACCGGCATCGAGTGCCTGCAATTGCACACGTGCCACGCGTGTTCCAGCGATAGCCACTGTATCTGGTCGTGGTCAAACGGACCCGATCGTTGCAAGCCCCACTCGAAGGTTCGCGACGTCAGCACACAGGTAACGATAAACAAGAAAATCGTAGGTTAATTTTAGGCCGCATTACCACGTTTCGCTACACTATTGTAGGAGTCTAAACGAAAAATAAGGCACGGGGATTCGAACCCACGATCCTCGGATCCACAGTCGACCGCTTTACCTACGCGACCAATCCCGTACCCTACGTTTCGTGTTCTTATTTGACTCCTTATTGTAGGGTATGGGAAGCGCGGATACTACACTATTATCTACACATTTTTGATGTTGTACACGAAGTAATTTTTCGAATTTTCACAGCAGGTGACTATTCTAAACGGGACTATTCAGGCGCAGCGATTGTCGATAGACTCCTGTCGCAGTCCGTGTGTGGACTACACTTCCTGCAAGAATTGTACCGAGTCGGATTGCATTTGGTGTCAAAACGAGAAGAAGTGTGTAGACAAGAACGCGTATCCAGCGAGCTTTCCCTATGGACAATGTCGAGAGTGGACCACGATGGATGCGAAATGTCGTGCCACGGAGACGGGAAAGGAATGGTGCACGTTTTATTCGTCCTGCGCAACGTGTCGCTCGGATCCTGGGTGTGGATGGTGCGACGATGGTTCAGGAACCGGAAAGGGATTGTGTCTACCGGGTGGAGCTCGTGGTCCAAGCAGCAAAAGTTTGGACACGTGTCCTTTCGAGCGGTGGTATTTCACCAAATGTCCTAGTAAGTGAATCGCGAGACATTTATAAAAAAATGTATTCTTTGCCGTTCGGCTAATAAATAAATAATTTTAGCTTGCCAATGCAACGGTCACAGCAAGTGTCTTCCAAATAGCAGCGTGTGTATTCAGCCGTGTGGGAATTTGACTTACGGCCCTCACTGCGACAAATGCATCCCTGGTTATTACGGGAGTCCTCTGAACGGAGCTACTTGCCAACGTAAATTCATTAGTCCATCATTAGGCGACCGTACCATTAATTTGTCGATGTTGTGCTCTTATCGAATTATGTTTTCGCATTACAGCCTGCTTTTGCAATAACCAAGGCACACAGTGCACCAGCGAAACGGGGAAATGTTTCTGCACAACGAAGGGTATTATAGGGGATCATTGCGAGCGCTGCGACGTGTCTAGTCTGTATCATGGGGATCCCACAAATAAAGGATCGTGTTTTTGTAGGTCCCTTGTTTAAATTTGCTGTCAAATATGGTAAAGGGTTAACAAATAGATTAAAATACTCGAAATTCTTTCTCCAGACGATTTGGCGATCGATTACCAATTTACATTTAACTTGAGCAAGAAGGAGGACCGCCAATACAGGGCGATCAATTTCAAAAATTCTCCGCCAAAGCCTGACATCGACGCAGAGTTCTCCATCACTTGTTCCGTGCTCGCGAAGATGAATGTCACTATTAAGAAGGCGAACACTGCGGAGATACCGCTCCTCCTCGGCGCCAACTGCACCACTAGCATATATAAGCATCGTTTCAGCAAAGCGGATTACAGTTTCGGCAGCGAGGACAACAACACGTTGACCACGTTCTACGTGTACGTGTACGACTTTCAGCCACCAGTGTGGATCCAAATTTCCTTCTCCCAGTATTCCAAACTGAACTTGCAGCAATTCTTCATAACGTTCTGCACGTGAGTATTTGAAACTTGATCGTTAAACTAATTCAAACACGTTGAAATGCGTTTCGGTAGGGAAACCAATAATGAGAATAAACTAAAGCCCCCCATTTTGACACAGATTTACGCGTACACGTAGTATCAAAGACACAGTAAATGTGATCGTGCGATTTGTTCGTCTTTTTCTTTTTCAAAATTTTCTACGCTTTTGTGTTGTCCTAAGCCTCAGGCAGTACTTACTTGTAAACTAGAGATTACATGCCACCACCCAGGTGCTTCCTCGCTCTACTATTGGTGGCTGCTGTCCTCTGGAAGATTAAACAAAAGTATGACTTGTACAGAAGAAGACAGAGACTCTTTGTAGAGATGGAGCAAATGGCCAAGAGAGCATTCAGTCAAGTGTTGGTAGAAATCGAGAGGCGGGACGTCAATAATTCGGATTCGGAACGAAGCGATTCCGAGTTACCGAATTGCCGCAAAAAGAAAAAGGTCAGCATTGTTTAACTTATTTTGGAAACAGATTAAAATACTAATATTCACGGTGGACGATTAAGTTAAATACCGTTTCAAACAGTAGCTGTTTGTCTTGGACTAAAGTGTCCATTTGAGTATATATTTCTGCGATTGATTCCAGGATGCCCCTAGTCCGATCGCGTTGGAGCCCTGTTGCGGTAACAGAGCCGCGGTCCTGTCGTTGCTAGTCAGACTGCCTACTGGCGGTGAACCGTACACGCCAGCCGGCCAGAGCGCTGGCTTAGCAGTAGCGTCTGCTTTAGTTACGCTGGGCAGCCCGCGAAGGCCTTCTCAGGAATTGTCGACGAAGGAGCCGAAGAAAACTCGAAAGTCTGCTAGCCAGCACCCAGACTCCACCTGCATTTAGCGATAAAACGGATAAAGCTGTGAACGTAAGAGAGACACGTAATATATTTACTTCGTCGTGGGTGACTATAAGCCTTAGAACATGTTTCTGTGATCTTGCCTCCTACGCGTGTGGGCAGGACTGTTGAGAGAGGTTAACCTTTGAACTCTGATCGAGTGAAGTGTGATCTTCTTCCGCGACGAATCTTCGTTTCATTTCCACCTCACCGCGACCAATCCGTCGAGTATTTCGTGTTTTCCAAGGAGATTCGAATATCATCGCTGTTGAAGGTCAGCCGAATGTTTAAGCATCTCGTTAATCGCCACGCTGTCATGGGAAAAAAAGAGGAATCGGTATTTTCGTTAAGCGTCGTTCATCAATCGTGGTAAGTAGCGTCTTCTTCGAACTGTGCGCGTACGACGTTAACCAACGTTAACTTAGCTGACTTCGAAGCTTCACCTACTCGAACTTCTCTTGATTCTATGCGACCGTGTACAGTGTTTGTATATAGAGATCTGTTGGACGGTTCTTTTTTATTTCAAATACAAGGGAGTCGTCTCTGATCGTACCACGGAATAATGACTATATAGAAGATTCATTTCGAGGCATATAAATTTATAAATTCGAGATTGTTACGCGAAGTTCTCGAGGAATTCACACGAGAGGTCGTTGAACAAAGAACAAAGGGAGGGTCGTCGACGAAAAATTGGAAAATTGGATTTGCCAGTTGCGGTTTCGTAGATATACAGGGTGTCCCAAAAAATGTTGTGACACCCCGTACTTTCCGTGTTTCGTTTGTAAAGCTGTAAATACGTGCGTTGTGTCTCGCGCGGGAATAGACAGATGACGCAGCCATGAGTGGCGGTGTAACCAACATATTTCGGGCCCTAGTGCTAAATTTCATGGTGAAAAAAGTGGTACTGTTGAAAGTCGATATTTGGTATTTGTTGAAAACTCGGGATACCTCGAATTGTATTCTTAGTTACGCCACTATGCGAACTGTACAGATAAATCGGTACGAAAGAGGAAAAGAAAGGGAGCGAGTGACAAGAAATATACCGTTCGTGTATTTGTCTCTAGTAAGTTGTAAAGATTCAATTCTAAATTAAATGGAAATGAATAGAGGCGACGTACATTTCAACGGAAACATTCATCTTTACAAAATACGTTACTGTTGTGTGATTTCCATATCAGAATCTACTGTGCCAAATAATTTTTCATATTGGTATTATCGAAAAGGGGAAGAAATACATTAGAATTCTATCAACGGGAAGAAATCGTGTTCGAATGGAAAAAATTATAAATCGTGGAAGTACATTGTTTTTTCTACCTTGTCTCTATTCATTTCCGCAGAAAATTAGTTTATTGTACGATCGAAAAGTAGATTTAGGAACGGAGGTCATCATATCTGCGCTATGTTTTCGTAGCATAAATTTGTCGTTTTATTGAAAATGTTCCTGTGTTTTCGATCGTGCAGGACTGCGTAATCTTAATAAATAACGAGCATAAAAAAAATAGAAGTGGACGTTGCAATACGATTTGAAAAGTGCGCTAATTCTGCTAAGTCGATGATTTTCATTTTCGCCACAAGATGGCGGTGCTGGTTGTTTTACGTAGCGATCTTCTAGGTTACCTATCTAGAAGACCGCCATTTTGCGTATCAAGCTAACCATTAAGTTGCAATATTTGATTAATAGGAAAAGATGTCGCATATTATTAGCATGTGGTTGTGGCGTTGTGGATACGTTGGTTTTTGTTTGTTTTTGGTATAATGATTTGTATATTCGTGTACGTAACATAACGTTAGCTGCTTCCGTTGTGAAATTCAAGATGATCTCATATGTTTTACTTCCTCTTCTGAATTTGGAGGCAGCTCGGACGATTGCACGTGAGATGAAACGGAATCGTGTTACCTTCTTTTTACCAGAAAAAGGTTAGGGAGAACTTTCAGCACTTGCAGAAGATACGAACAGAATCGCGGTACTAGCGTTGTCTATTTTGCGTTCGAGGTAATAATGGATTAGCTAGTGTCACAAAACCATTTACTATGCTATTCGGTATAATTAGATTGTGTCCAAATATCAAGAACAAGAGACATACTATATTTATTGAGTATCGTTTGTATCGTACAACTAACTTTCGAAGTATCGGTTATTTTGTTATTTGGCAGTCTAATTATTTTGAGCAGCGCTTAAGACTTGCATACACCGAACATGTTAACTCTAGCTTGTTAAGCTTTTTGTTTGCAGAATGCGAGTGGATGTTTTTAATCAGTATATAGCACGGATCGAGTGCAATGCATTTTATTTACCATGTAATACTCATTGAATTTCTTTCATTCTCTCTACTATAAGCAGAGTATTTTATACGAGGGTGTGACCAGACACAGTTACTTTCTATTCTAAACCACTTTTGCATTGTTTCTAGAAAGAAGAGTTGTTATTTATTGCTATGGTTACTTTGCTATGCTCTGGTTGCATTCGCGTTAGAGCGTGGTGTACATTTTATTAACGGAAAGATAATTTAATTTTTTTTATACACCTGTTTATTTTTTCTTTTCAAGCAGGGGGAAGATATACTTTGCTCATTTCAAAGGGGACTTTGTTCTTTGTGTGAGATTTAGTTGTATATACGAGTAAACGTTATTATTTAAAAATAGGAGTATCAGATATTGCTCAAGTTTGATTAGACTTTTCGTTGCTCTCCGAAATAGCTTTTTTTATAAACTTCTATATTTAAAATCACGAAACTTAGACGCGTCTAGTATAGAAGATAATATTTAACAGGGAAACAATAAGTTTTACATAATTGGGATGGTCCTTAATTAATTGCCACCAGTATTCTTTGTCCCTGTTCTCCTATGTTTGTCAGTTGCATTTATCGAGCATCTTGATACTGCCAATATACATTTATCGCCACTTATTGATCTAATTGTCTTCGAATCCCAACAATTCAATCCATCATTTAACCCCTTAGTGCCCGAGTTAATTTATTCTCGTGATTATTCCAAGCCAGAAAGCTTACAAAGTTTCTCCAAAACTTGATGCCAACATCGTCGTTACTACGTCGGGCAGGAAGGGGTTAATCGCAATCTTTCAAACAGAATCGCACACCGTTGTTTATAGATCAATCGTGTCAGGATCATCAGTGATCGGGGCTCTAAAATTCCCGAAATACGAGCTTCTGTAAACCTTCAACTTCTTTATGTTAAAAAATCGCTTACGCCGTGATCCCACTACGATTAATCACGCTCCTCGAATTCGTCCAGTGAATGAATAGCGAGCGGGGGTCGATCAGAAGAGTCGTAAAGCGACATCCAGTCATAATCTACGTAATAGACCAGGTTTTTAGATCGTTAGAGATAAGAATAGGTGATTAGAATCGAACCTATATCGTAATACGGTGTTTCCAAAACGTTTTCGAGTTCTTTTGATTTGTAAGTAATCGAACAGAATATCATATCCAACTCGCAGCCAAAGGTATCGAGAGGAGAAAGTTTAAGGAATCTCCGAGCCGAAAGAATCAATTTTAAGTCGTTTCCATTTTTTTTCCTTTCTTGGTGGCTGGAATTCGATGTGGATAACAGATTTTTATTCGTACCCGCGGCCCAGACGAACGGAGGCCAGCCAATACGTTTAAGAATACTTAATGTAACGTCTAAGTAGTTAGGTATATTATACGATAATAGCTTGCAACAATTTTTCTAGGATACAATCGAAAATATTTATTTTTATTCAAGCGTAAGCGTAAGGGAACTCTTTGATAAAACACGTTCAACAAAAAATGGAAATTAACGAAACATTCTATTAAGCTACAAGGGGCAGAGTATGTGGTGGAACGAATAATTTCTCGAATCGTATGTATAGATCCTTAACTCCTTAACATTGTACACAAGAGAAAGGACAAAGTAATCATCGCTGCATGGGACATGTACATGTATCTATTGTGCATATGTATATGTACTGTATGTATAACGATAATTCGAATGGCGATACAGATATGCGCAACATGTTACTATTACATTGTCATCGTTGTTCTCTTTAACGTCGTCAGTTAGAAAACCAGGAAGGACTCCAAGTGTCAGAGTTTAGAGTTTAACAACGTGAAACTAATCGTTGAATCTGTCGTTATTTGTGATTCGATGTAACCATCTAACTCTGATTGGTCAAATTTTAAATGTACGGAAGAATCAGATCGTTTGGAAACATTTTCACTGTGTACAATATTTGCTTGATTCACCTGGAAATAAAAATGTACTTATTCGTTCTTAATTTCTCGAGTAAATTAATACCTTTTATGCTCGTAAGAAGACGTCTCAGGATGAGATTTCGTTCCTACAGTCATCAAAAGTGTTATTTAAAAAGAAAAGGTATTTATATTGGCATTTGGTGTCTTTCGAGGACTGTTCGTAAAAATCGCCCGAGCTTGATAACGACCGTTCTTAACTTACATATGTATCTCGTCATTTGTATGTAAACATGTAATTGAAACTTATTCATGACGGTGTGGTGGATCAGTTTGAGTGACTTTCTGTATAACTGTATTTTGTAATCGAAACTTGATTTCGTTTTCTCATCGAACTCTCTTGTAAATATATACACAGGATGCGACGATATTACCTAGTTGAACGGTTAGTATCATCGCCCAAAGTTTCCAGACATTAAACACAAGTAGAAATAACGAGTAACGAGCCAGACACGTTAGCCAAGTCGTACTCAAATCGCACTGCGTACCAAATAACAATTTTCCAAATCGATCCTCACGTAAACGAAGCCTCGATCAATTTTACTCACGTATGCTTTCGTTTCTATTTATTTAAATTTTATACTCCGTTTAGTTGTATTCGTTGACACGAGCACAGAGATACGTGTACGTATCTCGGGTAAATTTAATTTATTTAACGCGTATCCGGTATAGTTGTGTGCGTTTTTATTTAATCAACGCGATTTTCATTCAACGACAAACGTATTCGTCGATGCTCCTCTCCGCTTTCCACGTGAGACTGAAAGAGTTGCGAGAGATCGAATGCGGACAATTCGTAGAATAGATTTATCAATTATAAATTCGTTATCATTGTATTATGAGCAAGCTTTATTGGAACGTTTTGGGTTTAACATTTCGGGTCCTCTTCGTTACACAGAGACGAACCCTTGCTCGCAATGTAATGGTCATGGATTCTGATTATTCTAAAGCGAGTCGTCAACCTAATTTTTCAGTAAGTTTATTAGTTCATCCTGAAAACATCCGTATATTAACGTATACTTTTTCAAAGACTGGCAAATGGCATTTTTCCAGGGGAAACTTGAACGAGAGACAAGTGGGAGAGGTGAGGGTGAACGGAGCAAGAGAGAAAGTTTGAGAGTGTGTACGTGTGCGTGAAAGAGGGAGAGAGGTTCCAAAATTATGCTCGTATTTTTATGCTAGAAGTTTAACGAAAAAAAAAAAAAGAAAGAAGAAGAAGATGGTGTAGATTATTAGCATGAGCGATGCGAGCGTGAATAGCAGAGTGGAACAAAAATGTATTGTATTATATTAAATGAAACAGATATTGTTTAAATAAAATTGATATACATAAAGTTTGCGACGCTTTGGTAATTTTACCATCTGGTTTGAAGTGACCTTTAAGAGGCTGGGATAAAATATCACCTCTCATACACACCCCAACTCACTCAATTTGTTCTGTACTCTATTATTTACCTGTTCTTAAATCATACAATCCGTAACTCATACTTTACCTGCAACTATGTCTCGCATATCGATCTGTTACTCAGATTCGTGATCAAGAGTCATTCCCATCACTACTCATATTTTCACTTTGTATTTTTTCAGCTGGACTGCTACAGAATAACCCAGGTCGTTGGCGATGGAAACAATTTTATCTAGGTAAAAATTTCGAACCACGCATACAATATAAACGATACCATGTATGTTACAGGTCAAGGATAAATATGGAAATCTAAGCTACAAAATCGAGTTGTAGTTGAACAAGCAGAAATTGTAGTTGTAGTGTATGCTTCGGAGTACCAGACCCGGGATTTCCAATTCCCTCGGAGTAGTGTCTTTACGTTTGTAAGGATATTTATTTAGAGGTTCGGCGAAAACTGTCGAAATTCAAAGACAACGCACAATATAGCAGACAAAATCAAATCGCAATACAAATTGAATGACTAATCAATGAATTACTAACACAAATTGATAAACATAACCGACAATCAGGGGTTCAAAAATTTTGCGGGGTCTGAATTCACATTCAAATCCTACACTTAAATTTTACAACGAGAAATTATCTATTTACAAATGCTATGCATTTTTTATAAAATAAATATTAAATAATAATACTTTGATGATTTTTGTCACTCTTTTCAATTTAATCATCGCTACGAAAAAAAATGTCTTGCATCGCAGCAAAAATTGCTTCCATTTGTTAATGGTACCATCAGTCTGTAAAAAGTTAATCAAAATCGGTGCCTTTTAATTCAGTAATTTTCGTATACCGCGGGGCCTTTTAGGTTGTCCCAAAAATTTCTTTCGATTTATTAATAAGTAATACAATACATGGACGATATTTTATGTTTTATGTTACATTACCGAATTGTCCACGACTCATTTTGCTCCGTTACCGTTACAACACGAATATCTATGAAATTAGATCGTCTATTTATATAAACACGACCACATCGAATAATCGAGTGGAACTCGCGAAAGAAACTTTCGGGACAACTTAATAAAACGAGCTGAATCTACTTTGCGCCGGCCCTGCCGACAATTATAAAACGTACAAACATACCTAGTGGTTTAAATACAGGGTGTCCCAAAAGTCGGGGAGGAGCCGGAAATGGGGGGTAGCTGAGACGATTCTGAACAACAATTTCCTTTGCAAAAATGTCGGATGGGGCTTCGTTAAGGAGATATTAAGCGAAAACCCCGACCAATCAGAGCGCGCGTAGACCGTTGGAGCGGCCGCGGTAGCGAAGGCTACGCGCTGGCGGCCCCGCTTGCACGCGAACAAGTGACTCGACGTGCATCGAAGGACATTGACGACGCGGCCACCAGCGCGTAGCCTTCGCTACCGCGGCCGCTCCAACGGTCTACGCGCGCTCTGATTGGTCGGGGTTTTCGCTTAATATCTCCTTAACGAAGCCCCATCCGACATTTTTGCAAAGGAAATTGTTGTTCAGAATCGTCTCAGCTACCCCCCATTTCCGGCTCCTCCCCGAGTTTTGGGACACCCTGTATAAACATTCCTCCAACATTCACATTACGATACATTACACGTTAACTACATAAATAAAATTACAGTTTTATTTATAATATCTCCATGGATATCCAGTGATTTCGATTCCCTCTCCAACGAAGATTTTCAAATTTTCTGACCGCTGCAATCGATCCAGTCCCGCCGAAAATATCACGTTCCATTGTTTGCCATTCAAATCGCACGTTTTATGTAACGAGGAAATCGATTTCCACGCGGTGTCGCGTTCCAAGCCGCGATGACGGTGTACGGTTATCGTCCGAATCCTATTTTCGTCAACCAACGTGCTCATCAATATTCATTTTGTTAAAGCTTCCCTTTACCCTCCTCCGCTCCCCCGTCCGGCCGGCCGCGCGAGGTACGCTTTCTTTTAATTCGATTTCAGTTAATCCGGTCCAGGTTACGCTTTTATTTCGAGAGCCGCGCCAGTGGTAATCTGATTTCCTGATTTCGTCTGTCCGTTTCCTTCTCGCGGGTGCACGCGTGCTGTGGTCCATTTGCCAAATGAAAACTGTCACAGGACTGCGCATGAAAGAGAGACATGCATTCAGAGACTTGGAAGGATAAGCTATCTCCGCACCGAATCTCACCCTTTCCTCTTTTCTCTTTCCCTTTCACGGCTGAATTCCACCTCCGATGGGTTAATATCCTGTTCGCGCATTCGACCGCGGTAGAGCCACGCGCGACTCTCGGAAAATCGACGATTGTCGATACGCGAGGCACGGTAGCGAATTTTTGGTCCATCGGTCGAGTCGAAGTGGGAAGCAGCACATCCTCGCATTTGTGGTTTAATTTTTGGACCTAACTCTATCCCGTTACTATCTTCAGTCACTTGCGCTGTTAACTCTTTGGGGCACGCTGGGATTAAAAGTGTCCCACCTTTTCGATGGACCGTAATGCATGGTGGGACATTTTTAATCCCACCTCGAAATTTTGCAATAGCTGCATGTGTATAGGCGTGATACCTTTATTAATAAAAATATAACAATTTCGTTTGATTTAAAACGCGATAAAATTCCTGTGCAATATGGGTGTATTTTATGACCTGAATTCCTGTGCCGCAAAGAGTTAAGTGACAGGGTTTCCCACTGGATTTAAGTAACAAATATTCGTTGGAATTGGATCCAGATCAGTGATGGGCAAAATCCTAGGCTTCGAATGAATCTGAAGTTTATCAATTTGTTTGTCTCGTTTCCTTTTGGAAAATGTTCAAAAGCAAAAACGAGACAAACATATCGACAAGCTTCAGATTTATTCGAATCCTATGGTTTTCCCCATTTCTGATCCAGATGAATAACACTGTCTACTCCTCTTCTATGCCATATTCTCAAGAACTCGAACTTGTATTTAATATCTCAGATTTGAGGCTTTTAAGGGTTTATTCTTCCTTGTAGTATCCATGGCGTTTATTAATCGTTGCAGTCTCATCATCAGTCCCAGGTAAATCCGATACTATACTATGCTATTATTCAATATTTTTTCTCTCCTATTACAGGTGAAACTCCATGCCAAAGGAAAATCACTGTCCCGCTCGCTACCACATCTCATCCCGCAAACAGATTATCTCTACATCCTGTGAAGATCGAGCCACTCGTTCGCCGATGCTCCGAGGAAAAATTACATCGCGAGAACAAAGTTTGTCGAAGAGGAATCTCCCAGAGCTCAGATATTCACGCGAGAGCTCGAGAGGAGCAGACCGAGGAAGATGCCGGCAGAAGCGATCCTGGTGCTCGTTTGGCAAATGTCACGGGTCAAGCCCTGGCTACGTAAACAGACGCGTCGGGTACACACAGACGACGAAGCTATTTTCTCGGCTGGTAACGCGATTACAGCCAGCCGCGGATCGCACCTGCAGCTTCTTTGGCCGGGAAACGACCGACGGAGAGTGGATTTCGTGGGCGGTTTCTTGATCGTTTCAGTTTAGCACGTAAGACGTATTTACGATGCTCGAGGTAGAGAATATTGACCGTTCCGCGTGCCCTCGCCCACTGCGAATCACGATTCCCGCATTTACGCGGT